GGAGATGAATGATAATGCATACTTTATATAAACTGAATAATAACAGACTCACTTTATTCATCATTGACTCTATTATGAACTCTGGTCTTCAATGTATAAATAATATTCTTCAAATCATCTGGAGAAATGAAGAGTGATTTCAGTGTTTTCAATGCTTCGAATTCCAATTCTTCCTGAAGAGGACGTACCATGCTTCATTTCCTCTCGATTCCGTGCTTTGATAACGAGATGAAGCGATTTATTTGCTGGCATTACTCCGGAAATACTATCGTTATGTGATAACGAGTTGAAACAAAGAACAAGTGGAAAGAAATAATGTGTCGTCTGCGAATATCCATACGTGCCACGACACAAACTGATTTGAGTTACTGGAGTCAATATATCCGAGAATATTCCGCATTCGTCGAGAGATAATATCCAAAGGACGAGTATAAAACCTATTTTGTTCTCGAATCACAATCATTTTCATCCTCATGTTGAGTATCACACTGGGTCCATCGGATGTCTGTCACAAACTTAGATCAGTATTAATCGCGATACGATTTTATATCTCCTAAGGGGACAATATCCCCTTGCATTCTCTTTATAGTTTCAAACGATTCCAATTTCTGATGAACTAAATGTATTTGATGTCGTGAAATGTATTGTTCGAAGGATCGAAGAACGTTTGGACGAAACACAAATTCTTTATCCAAAATCGATCAATATTAACTTCCTATTATATTCATAAGATTGGTAGGATGTAGGTCCAGTTTGTTACAGTATCGTATTCCTTTTCATGCTGATCATCAACCCAGATAGCATCGTGAATATTTCTATCTATCTAGATAGATAGATAGATAGATAGATAAATTTATTTCAACAGAGTATTCTATAATCATTCACAAAAGTGGCAGAATATTTTTGTCTGAGAAATACGTCAAGAAGAACTTGTAGAATTATCAAAAGGTTAATACATGAATTCAAAAATGATATGAAACATTCACATGAGTTTATGGATATAAGTTTCAAACACTATTAAAACATTTTAAAATAAGTGACATATTTCACATGTAGATTTAAACAGACATAAGTACATAACTTTTCAATAAATACATATATACACATAGATAGCATGGTTTTGAATAAAAATTTCATTCATGGGTTCCTACAGGCCAGAAAATATTCCTCGATACTGTAGGGCTCTAAGTTGCATAGAAATTCCTTAACAGACCTCAGGAATCTGTCAGCAACCACAATATCTTTTACATCTTGTGGGAGGTGATTATAAAATTGCATTGCACTATAGATAGTACTGCGTTCATAAATGCATTTTGCATGGATGGGATATGAGAAGCCTTTCTTTTGTCTTGTATCATAGATATGTGTTTTCCGATGTGTGTCGAAATGTTCTGGATGATTGATAATGCATTTAATGAGCTCAAAGATATAAATTGCTGATACAGCCAGGAGTTTTTCTGACTTAAAAATTCCTCTACAGGAATCTCTTCTATCTATGTTGTGGAAAAACTCTGTTCAGCCCATGACTTGAGCCCCAGATGATTATTCCTAGTCTCATAGCAGAGAAAAAATTTGCATAATATACTGTTATCAGTGCATAATATACTGTTATCAGTGCTTCAGGGTCAACATTTTTTTTCAGAACTCTCATGGCATATGTTATCGAGGATAGTTTATTGCATAGATTGTCTATTTGACTAGTCCAACTTGAAGTGTCGTCAATGTATATACCTAGAAACTTGACTGAAGTGTTACAAATAATCTTTTGATTGTCTATAGTTATGTTTTTTGGTGTTTCTATACTGTTGTTCATTTTGAACATGATACAATCTGTTTTTCCATCGTTCAAAACTGACTTATTCTCTTGAAAATATTTTTTGGATTGTTCTATTATTTTGCTACCATTTTTTATGATATCTGGTAAGTTTGTACCTGTCACTAGCAAAATTAATCATGTGGGCAGTGTTTATGTCTGCTATAACCTTATTGATATCATTGATAAATATAATAAACAATATTGGACCGAGGATACTACCCTGAGGGACCCCCATAGACACACCAGAAGCCTCTGATCTAACCGTGTTATCTTTTTGATTTAGTTCTACTATTTGTTTCCTATTTTTCAGATATGAATTGAACCAGTTGTACGAGTTTCCTCGAATTCCATATTTATAAAGTTTCCGTAATAAAATGTCATGATCTATACAATCAAAGGCCTTTGACAAGTCCATGAAGATCCCACTGGAAATATCTCCCCTGTCCATTGCTTCCAAGACTTCGTTGCTGAAATATACCAGAGCAGTTTCAATAGACTTATTTTTCAGATAGCCATGCTGGTTATTAGAAAAGATTTTGTAGTTGACACAAAATTTCAATAATCGGTTAGCCATTGCTATTTCGATAATTTTTGATATGCATGTCAATAGGCTAATTGGCCTGAAGTTAGACATGTCCGTCTTATTTCCTTTCTTGTGGAGTGGTTTCACTATCGCTATCTTCAGTTCATCTGGAAAAACTCCTTCCTCGAATGATTTATTGATAATGAAAGTCAGAATACATACAATCTCTTGGGCACAACTCTTCAATATGTGTATGGGTACTTCATCAATACCTGTGCTTTTCTTGTTCTTCATATTGTTCATAATTGAGAGTAACTTATATTCCGTGACAGGGTACAAGAACAGAGTGTGATTGTGAAAGGCTATATCTCTTCCAAAACCACTTTCTTTACCCATATCTTTATGTGTTGACAAGAGTTCAGGAGCGGAGTTTATGAAGTATTCATTGAAGCTGTTGGCTACCTCTATGGGCTTATCGAATTGAAATTGCTCGGATTGAGATGTACCTGTGAGTTCTTTAATTATCTGCCACATTGTTTTGGATTTATTATCTGACTCAACGATTCTATTTCTGTAGTAGGATTTTTTGGTCGATTCCAAGAGATTGTTATAGTCCTTTTTCAACTGTTTATATGCGATTCTATAGTCTGGATCGATTTTAGAAATTGACTGATAAAAAATCAGTTGATTCTTCATTTGTGTAATCATCTCAGGTGAATTGAAAATCTTTTTTCCTGAAGGTTTCCGGTGTTTACATGTTTTCGGAAAGTGCAAGTCGAAGTGAAATTTAAAGGTTTCACTGAAAATTGAGAAAGCTTCATTCAAATCATTCGCGCTGTATACATTCATCCAGTTCTCGGACTTCAGTTTAGTGCAAAATTCATCTATTGATTAGGAGTTATAATTGCGTCTCTCTATTTTCTTTATTGATTCGCATTTTTGTAGGTTGCAAAGTAGCACTTGCCCCAAGTGATCAGATATTCCAGTTTCAAAAACTATACTTTTTTTATTACCTTCAAAATTTGTAATTATGTTATCTAGACAGGAACTGGAGTGGATAGTAACCCTCGTTGGTTCGTAAATGGTTAAGACAGAATTATAAGTTGCTAACAGATTTTTGGAGTCTTTACAGGTATTACTTTCGGGACAAGAAGTGTGTATGTTTAAAATCACCTGCTATGAAATATATACAGTTTTTTTCATATAAGATATCTAACATGCTCTGAAATTTAGTTAAAAACGATTCTACTTCACTTAATGGAGACCTATAGATGCAGACTACGTTGAACTTTGACTCGCCCATTCTGCAGGATGCACTGGAGCACTCAAAAACATAGTCTTCAGCTAAGACATTTACTTCGTCAATGGGACTGCTAACAATCTCCTTGGATGCATATACAACTGATCCTCCATGTTGGCCTTCCTTTCTGCAATGACTAGACACTTGATTATGATCTTTGAAGGTGTAGTTCTTTATATTATTATGTTGTGATTGCCAGTGTTCTGTGATGCAGACTACTGGGCATTTCCGGTCTTCAATGACTTTTTGCATCATGTTGAGGCTATTTTCCAAAGACTGAACATTTTGATGTATTAGAAAATTTTTCATCTGAGGGTGTTGTGTATTTGCTTCCTTCCTAAAAAAGTCGCAGGCTGGTTTGGATTGTCACTTTTTGTGTTTTGGTGTTCTAGGAGATGATTGCCTCTCCTAAAGTTGAATCGCTGAAATCCAATGTTTTTCGGCCAGAAACTAGGATCATATACCCCCTCTTTCAGACTCTGTGCTACCCCTATCATAAATGATTGGTTATTACGCCTTGTACTTAGTGTCAGTAGTTTTTTTACTTCGATTTCATTTTCATCTGGCAATTGTTCTGTTTGTGTTTCTATATGTTTCTTTATGTTTTCTTCCTTTATGTTATCAGGTACTTTAGTTATGAATAACCATATCTTTTTGTCTTTATCATTATGTCCATGAAAATTACTGTCACGTTCGCCTCTGCCGATGTTTATTGTATTTTTATTTTTACGTCTCCTACTTACCACCTCTTGAAAACCATCATTGCTATCGTTTTCATCATTTATATTAATGATATTCGTCATGAGATTCTTCTGTTTATTTTCTAGAGCAGTTATTTGATTTTGAGTTCGTGGATTATGTTCAATTTTTGAATCGTTGCTTGGGGCACCCTTGTATATTGTGAAAACTTTCAATGTTTGATTCATCATTGTGTTGCTGGATGTGTTTTTCAGGTTTACTTCTTTTGGACGTTTTTTTGGATATAGCGTTTTTATAAACGGATTCTTCATTTTTTGTTGGGATTGTGATATTGTTTTTCATGATCTGGGTTGGTTTATCTTGCCTTAATTTGTCTTTCAAAAATGCAATTTTCTCTTGCAGTAAAAGAATTACTTGTTCCTTGTCAGCAATTATGGATTCGAACATTTGAAATAGAACATGCCTTGAGTTAATGACTCTGTGTATCATTTTCATTCATACTAGGAAGTATTTCAAAACAACAACACGATATGAAAATGTATCTGAAAATGCATTATTGCTTCTGAATTATTCAATGTATTCACTCATTCGATATGAATGCGAAATTTATTCTGAACTCATTCTCATATCTTTATATTAACATTATTATGGGTATAAAAGTGCATAATATGAGGAATCGTCACCAAACCACTGTAACAATACTTGCAGCATAATGTTTATTACGAAATTCGTTTTTGTTTATATCTGTGTCTTTGCCTACTGTTCTTTAACTTGTGCTCAACTTCAATCAGGTGAGTGTTCCTTCAAATGGAGAATCTTCATTCAGATCCTTCTAACGAATAATAAACGAGTTATACTAACATTTTGTTTCATGCCAGTAAATTTCAACGTGTTGCACTGATTAATTTCATTCTCTTCAAACTACAAAAAAAATATGACCTTCAGTACCAATTTCAATGCATGGGACGAAAGTTTGATATGTTTTTGAATGTTTCTGAGAGAGTCTGTCGTCAGTTTGTGTGAAAAAATCAAAGTTGGTACTTATTTCTGCAATAAGAGCCCATGACAGTGGCACCAGAATGTTTTTCATGACTACTGCCCGAAAATGGAGTTATCTTCATATATGTGTGCATTTTCAATTTATTCCATGAGAACAATAAATTTCTGAAGAATCATCCACAACCTAGAGATTCCACGGGAGTGCTCAATTGCTCATCAATAATAATATGACTATCACCTTCCAGTATCTGTTAACGTCTTGTTATCTTGTTGAAGTCACAGACAGACAAAATGACAACATGTCATTGTCAACAAAATTATGTCATTCGTGTGATAGAATTGTGAAGAAAATTTTAACCATACTCGAAACATGGTCACTGCTTTCAAATAACAGTTGATAATCAAAAAGTCGAACTTGAAAATAAACAAATTCAAAATTGAATGGATCCAGAAAATTGGTAGGTGGGAGGGAAAGTGGTGAAAAAAGCATGATGAAGGTATGATGACGCTAACTCGAACACCGTTTCACCACTAACTATGATAGTATCAAACTATGAAACGATATACAGGATGTCCCAAAATTAGCCTGCTAAACTTCACTAGCGGCTTTTACGACCAAAAATAGAAAAAAAACTTTCAATGAACATGAGTCGAGAAATGTCTCCTGAGGGAGATACGGTTCCCTGAAAGGGGGCTCTTGAAGATGATATTTCTTGAGTACTTCCGAAACTGCATGTGATTAAAATATGCAATTTGATACAAGAACTAAACTCTACAAGCCAAATGCAGTGAAAATAAAATCATTCCAAGATTTTATTCAGGAGTGTATAATACAGGATGAGACTACAATGAATATTGCTGCACAATTTTTTGTATGCATATTTTTCGACAATTTGATCTCGGATTATGAAATTTCGCACCTCTTCACAGAAAAGAAGGTACTCTTACTCTGTGACGATCAGATAAATTGTTATCGAGTAGAAGCAATTTAAAAACATTGTTACATCTCAGATTTTATGCATACCGTTGCAATGAGGTGTAGTGGATATGGAAAAAAGATGCACAAAAATGGAAGTAGTTTCTTCATCATGATTTTTTTATATTTCGCGCTTTCATTAGATTGTTCGGTGAAAAAAGAGTAGTTAATTTTTTTATAGGCACTATAATTTGGAATTTGGCTACGTTATGCATAAGATGTGTGAGTGTATCAAGATTTTTAAATCGATTCCACTGTAAAATGATACATCTGATCGATGCGGAACAAGAGCCCTTTTTTTGTGAAACGGTGATGATTTTCATAATCCGAGATTGAATAATCAAAAAATATGCATACAAAGAAGTTTGAGAAATATTCATTGTAGTCCCACCATGTATTATACACTCCTGAATAAAACTTTGAAATGGTTTTATGTTCACCGCATTGAGCATGTAAAGTCAAGTTCTTGTATCAAATTGCATCATTTCATCACGTGGCGTTTCGGAAATATTCAAGAAATATCATCCTCAGGAGCCCCTTTTCAGGGGGCAGCTACCTCAGGAGACATGTCTCGATTTATTGTCATTGGAATTTCTCTTCCTATTTTTGGTCGAAGAAGCTGCTGGCAAAGTTTGGCAGGCTAATTTCGGGACACCCTGTATATAAAAACTGCATAATATCGTTATTGTTCCATGATTATGGAAAAAAAATCGAATCAAAATAAATATACATTTCGTTGAGAATATCCCAATGTTGATTTATTCGAATCATCAATACATTAACGATCGATTGACGTATCATTTCATATGTTATTCTTGTGATTCCAGAAATTGGGAAGAATCTGAATATATCTGACTCTTGTAGAATATGTTTCGCATTTCAGCACACTCCTAATTCTAATTGTCTTCGAAACAGCAGCTTTGGAACAGCAGAAGAATTTCAATCTACGTCAACATCAGACATCCCAATCTTATCACCATTGATTTAATCTAGGATGTGTTATTTTGAGATGAACTCAATTTTTATTGATCATAGTAGAAGATTGACTCATCGTCTCTCTAGAAATATATGCACTGTATCTCTTATTCAGTTCTGACCTTGATAATATACACTCACACTCAAAGGTTCTGGAGCAGTAATCATCTCAGTAGAGTTCTGACTCGTGCATATTGATATGATGATATATGACTCGAATAGAATCCGAAAGTGAATTGTATCAATATTCAAGATCCAACTTAGAAAACAAACAATTTTGTCAACCAGTCCACGAACGTGATTTCAAAAATCAATTCCAACAGAAAAAAAACTTCGAAAACGGTGGAAATTGCTAGCTTCTCAACCAAAATTTTCACGAGAAAAAACGTGACATATCAACGTTTCGGTACTGTCCTAAATAACCATGAACACATATTGAACATTAACGATTTGAACTGATTTAAAAAAAGAGATTTTTCAATGTTCGTTTCGGATCAATTTTGAATCGTCAAATTTTCGGTTTTTCGAAGGTTTGATTAGACTTTAGAGAGGTATTGTGAGCGCAAATGATAGGTCTAATTTGTTCTACCGTTTTATGAATGCCCTGGAAATAGCAAATTTGCCTTCATGTCCATATAATCCTATCAAAAGGTTTTGAGATACTGTGATAGGACTATCGCATAAAACAATTTGACATTCAGCCCACTTCGGTTTCAAGAGAGCTCTGTGGAAGTCATTGAAATTTTTCATCAAAACTATTAACTCTCAACAACTTTCTTAAAACACCTAAGTTTCATTAGTGTCTCGAATTCGACCAAGAAGTTTCGAACTAATCGCATAAAAATACCCCATGAAGCAAACATAAAACCAAATTTACGCTAGGCCAATTTTGATTTGACTGAGGCAATAATGAAACCTTATTCTGGCTATGTGAAAGTGATTATCAAAACCTATAAGCCACGATGAATTCATCGATATCAATCATGAAATCTGAAGGATTCATCAAGTTTCTTTTAGAACTGTGCTAAACCCAGATCCCATTATATAAATGTTCGTATTTTTTTGCCTACAACGGCTCACGTTGAAATGAACTCACAAGAGAATAAATGGTGTGAAATTAAGAGGAATGACAACTTCAATCGAAAAAAATGAAGGAAATTACACAAGAATTGAAAACAAGTCATGAGAGCAACAGTAAATCGGAATTCTCAAGTCCAGGCAATTCCAAACACTGCGTCTTTCAATACGCAGCAAACTGTTACAATTCTCGGCCCAGTGAATTAAGGTCTTAAAATTTGCAGAACTCCAAAGAAAGATTGAAACTACGCCTCCTAGAAAAATTACTTGGAAAAAAACCTAAATTTATGTATATAGAGAAGGGAAGTCGATGCTGACAAGTTAGAGATACCATAATCAAATATCAAAATATAATCCATGCACTACAGGGCGTGAAGTAGCACTTCACCTCCCGGTTGTGCGGGCCTGAAGTTAAACTTCGCCGCCCGCAGACTACTTTGTCGCCTGGCGTATGAGTAATTCATAAAATGCAGTCCTCAAAATGATGGTTCTTGAGCAATGTGGAGAGTCATTGTCAAAACATACAACAGAAAATTATCACTTTCCTTCTGGATGATACAACAGAATACCAAATTGTTCCTCTCGAATAATCAACAGGAACCTGAAGCTTTCCTGGCTGAAAATATTTATACAATGTTACATATGATTAATTGAGATTATATTGATGGAATTATGTTTAACGGATATATCTTACCTCTCAGGAAACAATTATATCCGTGATGCAGAAAGGCATTCCTATTCACCAATAATTATTGACAAATGATTTCTTTCGCAAAATGCTCCCATTTTCCTAGATTGATATGAATAACACACTATTTTTCCACAGGTGATTGTGATATATACACGGAATACTTCGAACCATGTACTTCTAATTGTGCAACTATACCAACTTGTCAGAACAGGTACCCGCAGCCATATTCAGGTTCATGCATCGCAGTTTGTGTTCCACGTTGTTTGTGCAAGCATGGATATCTGAGAGACCAAGGTTCTGGTCGATGTGTGCCAATCGATCAATGTCCACGGATATGTTCATAAGCATTCCATAATCATACTTCAATAATGTAGACAACTTTCTTCGCATTAATAAAATGCCTCTAAATTGATGTTCAATTTCTTTCACCTCTCCTATATTGATACAAGAAAGATCAACAGCTGAACCTATCATCACCGTGAACTATAATTATCCCCTACTGTACTCGAATACTTGTTCTCATATTGGTATAACAAGAATATTATTTTATTCCTCCACGTAATCAGACCAGAAAATATGAGCTCGACATCACCAGTATTGGAACATCTCACTTAGACTATTCACTCAAAGTTGTTGAATTTTTCGAATTTGATAGTTTCAGAACTAATGAGAGAGAAACTTTGATGAGAATTGATATATCTCCTCAGTCCTTTGTGCATGAAAATCATACAGGATGATCTCTGAACTACATAATACATAATCACATTGAAACCGTTATAGCTAGACAATTTGAAAGATACTACATTCTCTTTGTGAAATTGAACGGGCTTTCAGATTTTTGACTTGTTTCGATTATCATTGAATGGACAGAGAGTGATTTATCATAGCAACAGGAACAACTTTGATAACCATCATTGAAACTTTACTATTGTCAATCTGAAGCAACACCTGTTATTGTGACTGGCCTCACTTAAATTACCACTAGGAAAAAAGACTAGGACAGTGTTTATTTGCCATTATTAAACATAATCAAACAAAGTACTTACAGTAATGACACCGAAGTATCAATTGTTAATAGTTTTGGTTCCATTTGGTACAAGCAGAATTTATTTGCCATCTATCATTATACATTTGGTACTATAAAATGGTGCAAAAATTCATATAACATTCTTCATACAGTGTATAAGAGCCAAATGGAATAAATTCATTATTTCGGTTACTCTACATATTTATGAAGAATCCTTAGATTCGTCAACTACTTTTTCGATAGAAACATCGTTTTAAATCATCTTCAGCTCTGCGGCGTGGCCGCTTCTGACGGAAAGTAGCAGCAACTTTGGTATTTTAAAAGAACACGCTGTATTTCATTGCATTTTCAGATTCTTTTCAAAGAGCTGATTCCATCAATGCATCACACTTGAGATCTTGCGGCAATGATTACAGAGCTATAGGGTTTTCAAAATCAAGATTTTTTATATTGATCATTTTTTTGTGTCGAAACTATTTTATAATTGGTCAAAACGATTTTTATATCCCTATCTCAACTTTTCATTTTTTATCTACTGACTCTTAATTGGAACAGATACAGGGTGATCACAATTCTGAACCACCCTGTATTTTTCACAATCAAATGTCAGTAGATAGTGAATCGAAATTTGAGATAGGGTCATGTGAGCCGCTTTGACCAATGATGAATAGTTTCGACACAAAAAAATCCTAAAGTTGAAAAATCTCGACTTTGAACACCCTATAGCTCTGTGAACATTGCCGCAAGATCTCAAGTGTGATGCATTATTGATAGAATCAGCCTCCCAGGGAGAATTCAAAAATGCAATGAAATACAGGGTGTTCCGATTGAAATAACAAAGTTGTTGCTACTTTTCGTTAGAAGCGGCAACGCCGCAGAGCTGAAAATGATTCAGAACGATGACTCCCTCAAAAAAGCAGTTGACGTGTTTCTGGATTTTTTATAAATCTGTAGATTAACCGAAATAATGAATTCATTCCATTTGGCTTTTACACACTGTATAGTCCTTTCATTCGATAACATCGAATTAACAAATCAAATAATAAATGGCATTTGAAAAATATACAGAGGAATAAACAATATATGAGCAACATACATCACAACTTTGAGCTCAGGAGACAGACCCTTGCAGGCTAAGGCACTGAGCTAGTACGGATTCGAGCTCTAGACCTGGGGCATAGGAATAGAACCATACGGAGACCCAAGTGCGGAACTGATAGTGGTCCTGGCACTGAAATACTGCTGACAGGAGGCTCTTTCTGGCTTCTAGAATGAGCCGGGAAGGGGAACATGAAAGGGGCTCAAGAATCGGAGGAAATCTTCGCCTCCCCCCCCCTCGTTACATCAATTGAAACTGTGAGAAGTAGATTGATAGATAGATAGTTAATTCACCACTTTACGTACTGATGTACATTTGTATCATGTCATATTATTACAATTCAACTATGAATATTAATATACGAATACATAAAAATCAACACATACATTCAAGTTAAAAATAGTTATCACATGGTAAAATAAGATATAACTTCATTTGGTAGCTTGTTGTATATATCAATATGCGGAGAATTTTTTTCTGACATCACAAGTCTTTGCCTGGGTTTTTTTCAGCGATTCACCTGATCTCGTAGAATACTGATGGTTAACGGTCATGAATTGATAATCGTTTTTGTTAGTGTGGATCTCGAGAAGCGTGAGATAGATAAAAATTGTGGGAACTGGCATAATTTAAAGTTTGCGAAAAAGTGGACGGCAATGGTCTTTGTAATTTGCACCACTCATGATTCTGACTACTATTTTTTGTATAACGAATATTTTGTGAGAATGACATGATCTGCCCCACAGTAATATAATACCATACATTATATGTCTGTGAAATAAACTATGATAGGAGGATCTGAGAACCTCTGAACTGACTAATTTCTTCATTCTACGGATCAAAAATGTAATCGAAGACAATTTTCGGCCCAACTGTTCCACATGAGCTGCCCAATTAAGTTTGTCGTCAATTACAATGCCCAGTAGTGTAACAGTTTTTCCAGACGAGATGTTAGAGTGGGATGATATCTACAATTCTTGATTTTTATCGGTGTTCAGTTTGAGTTTATTTGCAATAAACCAGTGATTGGCTTTCTCCTGACAAAGATCTACAGATTCGGACAAAGTTTGCGAATTCATTTCAGAATTTATTGAAGTGGTGTCATCAGCAAAGAGTACACTGTTGATTGGAAGCATATAATAGAATAGATCATTAATATAGACAATGAAAAGCAAGGGTCCTAGGACCGATCCTTGTGGAACACTATGTGCAATTTCAGCGAGTGATGATTGACTTCCATCCAGATAAGATTTGAAGTATTAACTGGTCATATTTTAATTCCCCTCAACTGCTGGAAAGTTGTTCACTAATTATCATTTTCATGTTAATAACGTTGAGGAAGATATAGATAATTCGAGTAAATATTCTCACACTATCATTTGATTGGAATTTTCGGGTGATAATCGAGCAATGCTCAGAAAATATATAACGTTTACTCATCAGTGTAAAGTTCCATTCCAACACATAAGAATCAGAAGAATATGCGATTCACTTATTCGTCAGTAGTTTTCACATCGTTTCGATTTCCTTATCCTAAGCCTATCTCTCATAATGAGGCTGAGGTTTCGGGTACATCGAATCATTCATCAAGGTATAGAAACTTTTTTTTGACGTTTTTATTTGGGAATGATTCGAGAATATCAACAAAGTATTTCATGGCTCATCAAAATAATGAATTTTTCCTTGAGACGTCATTCGGATGATGATATGTAAACATACCAGGAAACAGGGTAGGTATATTCCTGATGTGACATTTCGATGCAAGCGATGAACCCCGGTTCATCGGTAAGGTTGAAGATAAGATACTTTATCTCAGGAACTATTAATCTTGCTAATGAGGTCTGGTTCAAGAAGGAAAGGATTGGTGAATCGAATGGAGAACCATCCATGTCATCCTGGTCCTCACAGCCCTTGCTAGGAGGCGTGTTTCATAAACTACTTTCACCTGAAATACAGTACCTCCTCACCCTTTTTGTATCACTTGCTGAATTACTGGCTAGATGCTGCCAGCGATGCACATGATGTGTCTGTTGAAATGAGAAATTTTCTTGGCATCTTTAATCATGTTCATGTTGTTGTTCTAGCCATCTGATAATTCTAGCAACATAAGTTATTACAAGAAAATATGAGCTACAAAATGATTTCGTTCTCGACTTCCATAAGAAATTTCCATTTCTCAATTGTAATCGAAAGAAGATCAGTTCTCGAAACATTCAGAGATAAGTAGAATCATTTATCTGCCAATATACCCATATTCTTGTTTTTCAATAATTTTTTTAAAACGGGTCAATAACTTTTGATCACAGAATAGTTAATATTTCACTTCCTTGCCTAACTGTATAAACTTTTCATCATATCATCTTTTCATTATTGCAATGGGATTTTTCACTTCCTTTCTCTTCTGATTTTGGAATCTACCATGCAATATACAAAAAAGCGCAATTCTCATCATTTTCACTCTAAATTCTCTCACACAATACTAATTTTAAAGCTGAGAAACTTGGGATTTGATGAGGATTTGTTGAACTTTTTCAGCTCGTATCTCACAGGTCGCTCACTATATATTGAATACAGAGGTCACAAGTCGCAATCATTTATAGCCAGTAGTGGAGCACCACAGGGAAGTAATTTAGCTCCATTGCTGTTTTCTCTGTATATAAACGATATTACGCAAAATATTTCAAGTAGGATTCTTCTCTTTGCTGATGATCTGAAGTTATTTCGTCCCAATAATTCGATAAATGACTGTCAAACACTTCAAAATGACATTGACAAGGTAGCCACTTGGTGCACTGCGAATAACTTACCACTCAACATCAAAAAGTGTTACTCAGCGACCTACACATCTAAAGTAAACCTGATAGAATTTGTGTACAACATCGACGGTAAAAACCTTGAAAAACATGATCTAACTAAAGATCTCGGTATTTATTTTGATTCTAAACTGCAGTTCCTATCACATATCACCAAAGCCATATCATCAGCAAAAAGAATGCTAGGTATGATATTCAGAAATTGTAAAGATTTTCAGAGTCAAGACAGTTTTATAAATATATTCAACACTTATGTGCGATCTCGCTTAGAGTATGGCTCACTGATTTGGTCTCCTATTTATTTAACTTACAAGCAAAGCCTTAAATCAGTACAAAGATCATTCATGAAATATATGATATACAAAATCGATGGGTTATATCCAGAACAGGGTGTTGATAACTCTATATTACTGAACCGATTTTCACTTATCTCGTTGGAAGACCGAAGAAATTATTACTCGTGTCTATTTATT